CTCTCTCTGCCTGCCACCCAAGATCCAAGATCCTAAAAGAAAGAGGCTAAGGGAAGGAAGGTGGTGCCAGCCCCAAAGGGATCACAACTGATTGTCAAATGGCCCCAATACATTTGGCTGCAGGGACAAAAGGCTATTCTCTGGAGTGTCTAAAAGTGCTTCCTGCGATTAACCAGTTCACTCAGGTCCGGAACCACCAAAGAGCTACTCAACTGCTAAACCTGGCCCACAAGTACAGACCAGAGACATAGCAGGAGAAGAAGCAGAGACTGTTGGCAAGGGCTGAGAAGAAAGCTGCCAGCAAAGCGAATGTCCCCACCAAGAAGCCACTTGTCCTTCAGGCAGGGATTAACACTGCACCACACTGGTGGAGAACCAGAAGGCCCAGCTGGTAGTGATCACACACATTGTGGACCCCATCAAGATGGTTGTCTTACTGTCTGCCCTATGCCTTCCCTCTGGACACTCTCCTAAGTACATTCTGATCCCACCTTTAGTTATTTTTCCGTAATGCAAATCTTATTAAGAAATATGCCTGTGAAAATCCTTTGTAAGACTTCACAGGGTGAAGCAGTAAGTAAGACAGCTAGACAAGGACTCTAACCAAGGTCCTATTGTCATAAAAGAGAAACAGTTTTGCTAGAGCTTGCAATTTTTCAATTACAAAAAAAATCTAGAATTTTAAAGTGAAATATGCCAATTAAAAAAATATTAGCAATTGATTTGCTGTTTTTAAAAACACTGCAGAACTGACAATGTGAATAATGACTGGAAATTTGATGTTAGAAATTTTTAGCTGTAATAATGCGATAATAGTAATTTTTAAAAAGCTCATGTATTTTAGAAATGTATACTGAAATATCTATGAATGAAGTAATATTTGCTACAAATAATATGTTTGGAGGAGAGAAGAGATGAAACAAACTGACAACCAGCTATTAATTGTGATGAGTACATAGGAGCTCGTGATATTCATTATATAGTCATTATGTTATTCTGTTTACGCTTTGTATATGTTGAAATTTTCCATTGAAATTAAAACACATAAAGCCCAAATATGTTTAGGTTTTGTGACCTTCTGTTCCACAGCATTTCGCTACCAGCTACTTTACTGGATCCACCTTCAAAAATTCCCCTTTTGAACATGACAATCTACCTAGATTAAATGACATTGTATTTCACAAAGTGTTTCATTCCTGGTGTTTTGGCATTCCTGGTTCTGCTTTTAAAAACCTATGCACCTATCTGGCAAACTCCACTTTTACCTTTTACAGTTTATAAGGCAGTCTCCCTGTGATAAAATAAAGAATACATCTGATTACTGTCCCCAGTTCTTGGCACACAGCCTCAAAAGCCCTTGGGGCCATTGTGGTTCAGATAGTTGGGCATCCTCTGTGCACCGAAGGGTTTGGAGTCTTGGTCCCCAGTGAGGACCATGCAGGAGGCAGCTGATCAATGTTTCACTCTCACATACATATTTTTCTCTTTCTCTGAAGACCAATGAAAAAATTTTAAAAAGCCCTTGGAATTTCCTTAGTAATAGGAGGTGTCTTTGTTATGGGTTAAAATGGAATATCCCACTGACTGAAAAATTCTTTGAGTGAAGATTTTATGTACAGTTACTGGCTGTTAAGGGCCCCAAAAGGATCACTGAACTAAAATGAATTCAGTTCTCCTCTTAAATTTAAAGATTTTAAAATATAACATATATTCTAACCAAAAAGTCCCTAAACTATAATTAACATGGGTTAGGAGGCACTTACTGAAGTCCAGAATTTTAACTTACAATTGATTCTCATAAAGTTGCCACAAACACTGTACCTGAGAGCCTCTGATTAGTAACATTTTCATCAACCAATCAATGCATAATGTTGTTATATGTGTGTTTACGTTTAAAGGTACTTTATATACAGACAGTCCTCGGGTTACGACGGACTTGACCTACATCGTTTCGTGGTTATGTTGCCATCTCCCATTTATTTATATAAAAAAAAAAGTTCCATCATTTCGACATATGTACATATGTGCTTTATGTTTGTTATTACTTATTTACCATAAGTAAAGGTCAGAAATTGTTATCTTTTTTTAAAGTTTTTTTACTGTTTCACTTCATTATTGCTGTATATGTGCTCCATGTGAGTGACGCAGGTGCTTATGTAGGTGGGTAGGAATGGAGCTCCAACGTAACCCGAGGACCTACTGTATATTAATTCATTAACATTAAGTTCACAGCCCAGCCAACAGAGCTATAACTCATGCCTCAACAAAGCTTACCTAGTAATTGTAATCATAAGTATTGTATTTTCCTGAGTTCTATGAATATTTGCAGCAAATTTTCTCTATAGCACACATCATAGCTTTCTTCTGCTTAGGAACAATAAATAGCATTTCAGTACTATGCTCGGAAGCCATTTTTAATAGTAAAGTCATCAACAAAAAGCAAAAATGAAAAATGTGGCACTAAATAGACTACAAAAAGGACATCTGTTTATAATATGAGAGGGGAAACAATAAGGCCTCACTTGCTGGGAAAATGGGCACAGGGCCATTCAAAATTTTCCCCTCTGCATGTCTGTGAACTACCTCCAAAGTATCACAGCTATGGATTTTGTGGTGCTTCAATGAATACATTTTACAAATAAACTTTGATAAGTAAGCAAATCACAAATATAGAATATACAAGTGATGAGAACTGAGTATATAACACTTAAAAAGACACTTAAGCAGTAATTCAATTTAGAGACTAAATTTAATTGCTTAGCTCTTAATATAAGAAAAGTTAGGTTACATTTAAAATCCTATAATAATAAAATATTTTATGACCCTTACATTTTCTAGGACCCATTCTCTTTTTAAATATACTCGTTTGTTTACTCTTATTTCTAAACTGGATTGCATTTATTTTATACTTCTTACTTGACAACTCAGGTCATCTTCATCAGGAATAATTACTGTTAAAAACTGGAATTTAAGGATGCTCTGCTGGGTGTTCTTAGGGCTCCTTCTAGTCTGTTACTCTTCTATGCATTCATTCATTCATTCATTCATTCATTCATTCGACAATTATGGTCAAGTACTCTGCTAGGCAATGGAGTATAACCACACACAATAAAGCTTAAGCCCATGCTTTGCTGATACTTATATTCCAGTTGAGGCAGAATTTAACCAATAAAAAATATGACAGCCTGGCCAGTGTTGCTCAATGGTTGGAGCATCCACCTATGAACCAGGAGATCATGGTTCGACTCTGGTCAGGGCCTATGCCCAGGTTGTGGGCTCGATCCCTACCTAGGAGGTCATGCAGGAGATAGCCAATGAATGATTCTCTTCATTGATGTTTTTATCCGTTCCTCTCTGAAATCAATATTTTTAAAATGTGACCCCAAAAAAATCATAAAGTGGGTACCATGCAAAAGAACCAAACAAGTGGTGTGAATGAGAGACGTAAGACTTAAGTATTAGGTTAGAAAAAACTCTTTAAATGACATTTACCCAGAAAGCTAAGGATAAGAACAACAGAGGGGAAGAGCATTCCAGGCAGAAAACAGCATGCCCAAAAGCACAAAAGCATGAAAGAACACTGCAGTAACCAAAAGACCAAGAAGGCAGCAGAACCATGTGCAAGGGGAAACACATGAAGGAGGCTAAAAAGAAGATCATGCAAAACCCCCAGGTCATGGTATGGAGTTTAGATTTGATGCTAAAGTAGTGGTCTCAAGGCAGGAGAAAAGACTTGATTTACATTGTAAGATCTCTTTTACTGCTCTGTGAATTAGAGGGAGGCTAGAAGAGCAGAGAGATATATTTTGGATATCAAATCAACAGATCTTGCTGATGGACTAAAGGCAGGGAGTGAAAAAAAGGAATGAAGGATGATGTCTACCATTTCCAATTTGAGAAACATTTTCTGAAATGGAGTAGAGCAGGAAGAAATAAAGAATTTAAGTATGCTGAATTTTTAAGTACCTATGACATATCAAGTGAAAATATCAAGAGGGTAACTGTATATTACAGTCTACAACTCAGAGACACTTTGATGTCATTACATAATTGTGGTTTTTACATCCATAGGAATTAATAAGATAGCCTAAGGAGAAAATAAAACATGGTAGAAGCTAAACAGTTAATAAGGAAGTGAGAAAGTAAAGTTTATAGAGACAATAAAGCAACTGACAGAGAAGCAAAGTCTGGGTGAAGGTTAGAAGAAATGGGGTACAGAGTACAAGTGCAGGAACTGAGGCATGAGACAGGATACTTCCTTCATAGACAAAAATTAAAATATATAACATTAAAGAAAAGAAGGGTTGCATGTGTAACTAGGTTTGTAGGTTTGGTGCTGTGAAGATGAGAGCAACTGACTTTGGTTTTAAGAGGCTAGTGTGAGGCTGAGGCAGACAAGCATGTTTCAGGAGAAAGGGCTTTGGGGTTGAAAAACTGTCTATGAAGTAGAGCATACAAAGACTGCCAGGCCTCTAAGTGGCCATCTAAGGTCTGAGATCATGAATTCAAACTAAAACCTAGAAGTAGAGCTGCATAATTTTTTCCCAATAGTTAGTAGTCCGTACACAGGTTAATGTACAGCATATGGTTCCCATCTATTATACTTCAAGTTCAATTTTTAGTCTTCTCCTTTACTGTTAGTTGGTATGTCTATCTCAGCTAAATTATTTGCAATATGCTTGTTATTGCCACACTATGCCTTCCTAACAGTGGCTTGGAAGACAGACACAAAAGTATATTACTTTAGATTCTATGTAGCAGTTAATAATGGTTACAAAAACATAATTAGAGAAAAGTGCTTTATGCTACTATATTAGGCAAAAGGGACATGATGTACCCTGAAGGTAAACTATAAACGGAAAAAATTAGAAAAATAACAAAATTTCACAGTGATTACCTTTGGCTGATGAGAATATAGCCCACTACCTCTTCTTTTTCCTTTTATATCAATATATCCATCACATTCTACATCACAGACATGTATTGTTTTTAAAATAAAAAATAAAAAGTATTAATTTCAGCAGCATATTGGAAAGATACAGAGATTAGCATGGCCCCTGTGCAAGGGTGACAGGCAAATTCATGAGGCGTTCCATATATTTTTAAAAAATCATTAATAGGATCTCCCTAAAAAACTGAACCGCTAGCCTTTTAGCTAAGTATGTATTTTATGACAATCCCCTTGGTTATTCAGTGGCTTTTTTCACTTATGTTCAGATGGTCAGTGTCTCAGATATTATACACCACAAAATTATTAAAATGTTTTTCAATTATTTTCTGGTATAAAACTCTTAGATAAAATATGACCACAACCTTTCTTACTAAAGAAGTTCAATAACACTGGAAAAAATATGTATCAGAAAACATAGAATATATTGATCCATACCCTTTGAAGACTTTAAGCAACAATGTCATTTAAAGCAAACCACTTAAAAGTATTTCAGAAGATTTGAGAAATTTAGAATGGAAATCTGAACATGAACAAATATAGAAAAACTTAGTACTCAGAGCAAGCTAGAAAGCTTTCATACATAAATAATCATACAAAATTCTATTTCAGGGTACACACATAGGTCATTAGTCTCCACTCTAAATCTCCAAAATTCTGACACAAAAAAAAAATTTGAGAAAATAAATAGCACTTAACACTTAGAAAACCTTTCAGTACAAGCAGCTACAATATTGTTTGCTATACATATACAGTCTCCTATTAATAATTGGAAATTTTAATAGAACATCAATGACATTCTGGAACTGGAAGTTAATTAAGACAGCTAATGCAAGGAGAGCAAGGACTCAGGCATTCCATAAGGGTAGCAGCTGAAGGTTTAAACCTTTCCCTTAGGTCATAGGTCCCACCTACTGTGCATTTGAATAGTAGATTTCTCTCACCAAAGGGAACTAGCAGATTTGTGGGTCAGGCAACATGCAAAAGAGAACAGGCAGAAATAATTAGAGCAACTTGAATAGGAAGGTGTTGTTGCACCCTCCTTACCCAATTTTGGGTAAGACAAGAATCAGAAAAAATCTGACCATATCGTTTTCGATAAGGGACATATGAAGGGAAGGAGCACATCAAAGTGAGAGCCTAGGAAGGCAAAGGGGTAGAGAAAAATGCATAGGTTTGAGCTAAACAATCAGGAAAATGGAGAGCAGGTTCATCAAAGAAGCTATAAAGGAGAAAAAGCAAACCCTACTCCTCATGCAAAACCCACTATTCAAATGTACAAAGAATGTAACCTATCACTTACCTCTCCATGAAAAGAGGGGCCAAGCAAACTTCAAAACAAAAAGGAACTTTAATTACAATAGAAAGTAGAATACTTTGGCTACAAATCAGTGGTATGCTGGACACTATAAAGAACTATCATCTTTAGGGGATCTGAGCAACTGTTAAAACAAGTGTTCCTTAGGTTAGGGAAAGCAGTTTACACTAAAAGTACAGAAACACCAACTTCCCAAGAGTTTTCTTCTTTTGGAGGAGGGAGGGAGAAATATGGCAATCTGAGAGCATTAGACTCCTTCGAGTTTTTCAAGGTTACAGTTGAGATTTTCATGTTCACACGTTATTGGGAGAAGAGAACTTACTACTTAAGTTCTTGTTTAAAGCAAGATTCCCTTCAACAAAATCCAGTAGTCATATAAAAAGGCATAAAAAAAAAAAAGGAGAATAATACTTTCTGGAAGAAAAATATTTTCCTATTTAAAAAACTGGAATGGAATACAAAATATTTATAATTTAATAAATTTAACCTCAAATGGTGAGAGGTATAATTTGAATAGATATTTCTTAAATTCTACTTCAATGTGCCTTTTAATTTGGCTTAGGACTAAAGGTGGCTATGTAGCCATAGAGAAGCCATAAGAATACAGTAAGTAAAGGATATATACTACTTATAACTTGAAGGATATCTTCTAAAAGCCAAGTACAGCTAGGAAAACGGGTAGAAAAAAAGAAAATCTTAAATTACTCTAGAATCTACCAACAGAAGTCACAGTGGTTGTAGAAAAGTTCACCTCCACCAAATTCAAAGCTCTTTTCAAGTAGGTCAGTTCCAGGACAAGGTCTCGAGTTGTTGGGCATCCAAAAATCAAATCCATAGTACACTCTGTTAGACTTCTGGGGTAAAAAAGCCTTGATCTGTTTCATTTTTCAGTATGTGAACGTGAACTAAAGTTAAAATGTGTTTTCTCATTTCTCACCAATCCTGCATTTACTTTCTAGGTAAAACTGAAAACTATATTTCCCAGACTCCCTTGTACTTTGGCCTGAACTAGCCACAGGGCCCTAGCCTATGTAACATGGGCAAAAATGATACATCTATTTCTAAGCTTAGCTCTTAAAACCCCCAGAAAGATCCATAGCCCCTCCTTCTCTCTCGACTTGCACAGAGGCAGCAGGAGGACAGTGGCGCCACAAGACAAAAGTTTACAATCCCTAAGTCAGCACTTGAAGAATAGTTGAATCCTTAAAACACCATTTTGTGAAGGGTCGACCTGGAGAGCTGCCCAACCCCTGACTCCCCCATTTGACCCTCACTCCTCTCTGAGAAAGCCGAGTGAGAAACTTTTATTAAATTCACACACTGAGATTTCTGAGGTCATAACACACCCCAAATACATCTCTTCTCCTATCTATCTCAGAGAGTACAAATCCAAATGAGATAGAAGAAATAAAATTTTTATCAGGATGAAGTTTTATAACATGGCAAAGATAATACTAATGGAATTCAAACCAGATTAAAGACTATGCAGTTTTTCAAAAACTACAGATCTATAGCACTAATAACAATATATAAATCTTACCTAATAAGAGCCAGAAAACGAGTCAATTTTTTCATATTAAAAATCACCAGGCTGCCGAAACCGGTTTGGCTCAGTGGATAGAGCGTCAGCCTGCGGACTGAAAGGTCCCAGGTTCGATTCCGGTCAAGGGCATGTGCCTGGGTTGCGGGCACATCCCCAGTAGGAGATGTGCAGGAGGCAGCTGATCGATGTTTCTCTCTCATCGATGTTTCTAACTCTCTATCTCTCTCCCTTCCTCTCTGTAAAAAAAAAAAAAATCAATAAAATATATTAAAAAAGAAAAATCACCAGGCTGCTAATTTACAAGCAAATATTGCTTATTTCTTCAAGGTATTTAATTCTTTAGGAAAGTGGCAGGATTACTCATTAAAACAAAATAATAGAGTCAAGTGCCACTTCAAACCTCCCATTCCAAAAGAGGAAGAGGTAGATGAGACACGGACAAAAATTAATTTATAAGATATAAAAAGAGAAGCCATAATGGTGAAAAATATAAACATTTATTCATAATTTAAAGATATTTACTACTGAAAATAAAGTATTAAGATGATATATACAGAAATGAAAAGAAGCTTCTTCCGTCAGACTCATAATTAAGTCATGTGGTTAATACACACACAGGTTAATACACATCTATTCACCTGAATAGTTCTATTAAATAGTTCTATTCAATATGGTAACTCCCAAGCCATCCTACACTATTCATAATTTAAAAGTCCTCACGAGCCTCTTCCCTTAAATTCCTTTAAGCATTTTATAGCTAATAAGAATGGCCTCAGGTATTTCTTTCATCAACTCAGCAGCATCAAATGGTTTAAAATGCAAACTGTTATTTCTAATCAATAAATATTTATATAAGCAATCTATAAGGAATTTTAGATTTTCTCAATATTAAGTTTCTAAAATTATCACAAAAGGTTGATAAAACAATAATTATCCCAAAATGGTAAAGTTAATTATCTTATTCAATGGAGTTAGGAAACAAAATTTAGCAATTTGGTTTCATAACCTAAAAATTTCAGAATTAACATTAAAGAAAGGTAGATGATCTTAAAAACACAAAACAGGGAGGAAATGTGACTATAGAAGAAAAGTAACTATTACTAGAAAATTCTGATTGGTACCCTTAGAACCTGATTTGGAATTTGAGAGAGCATTAATTAAAATTTAATGTTTACAAAAGTAAATCAAGAATATTAAAAAAATCAACTTCATATTTATTTTTAAAGGTTGAACTCAAATTAGTGTGTATATTTGACACATACTTGTCAAAAAGTGAAGATTTAAAAATACATTATTCTAATATTAACAGAGAAGAGAATCAGATTTTAAGTCTTTCAGTTTTTGCCTGTGAATGTTTTATAGAAATAAATGAAAAAAGCAAGTTATGTACAAACATGGAAATTGTCTATACAGTTAAATGGGACAAAATTGCTAAGATCTTTACAGCCAAAAGAGAACTAGAAGTTTCATGGGAGACTCATCATAAATGTCTAGAAATGTGCAATGTATTTTATCTATTTTATTAATTCAGATTCCATTTATTTAGATTAATAATAATTTGCTCAGCTGATGTTTACTCTTTCATGATCTTTTTGCTAAGCAAAAAAAAAAAAAAAGTAAACAAGATTACACAAGGCAAAACAAGTAATCTAGTTATAGATTAGTGGTGGGGAAGGTCTGTCCCACAGGCCATATAAGGCCCTTGAAATCATTTGGTCTGGCCCTACCAAGGCATTCAGAGTGAACTGATTAAATATTTGATCGAACAGAGCAGGCTAATTTTTAAGTTGATAATTTTGTATGGCCTGCAAATTATGTCATAAATATCCAAATCGCCCTTGTCAGAAAAAAGGTTCCCCACCCGTTATAGATGATTGATTTTTTTCACTTATAAATAGCTCTGATAGATGCTTTCAACTTCACTAAAACTTCAGTCATTATTTATTTTGCTAATAAAATATACACTCTTAAATACTGATCTCATACTTTACACACACATCAAAAAATTTTTAAGCAATCTGAATAATATTTTCTATATTTAAACACTAATATGGACAAAGTATAAGCATACAAAGGAAGAATATAAATAATTAAAACTAGAAAATAAATTCTATGGAGAAAATATAAGGGTTTTTTTTTTTGATAGAATGGTCCTGAATTAAAGGCTTATTATTTATCTTGCAGAACACAAAATCATTAGAAAGAGCTATCCATTGTTTCCTAACTTCTAAAGGTCTAAACAAAAGACGCAATAACAGAATTTGGTTATTTATTGGAGATGAGTTATTGGAGT